TTCCTCTTAGGTTCTCATCTCAGTTATCAGCAGCTTGACCAAGCTTCTTGCCTTCTTTTGACCTAAGTTTCCCATAAGATGTTGACTAGATAGTGACAAGAGTAATCACAGTTGTCGTATGTTGTGAGCACTCTTACCACATTCTGCTAATAGTCTGACAAGGTGCCAGCACCCTTTAACAGGGAAACCAAAGCATACAATCCCAGGCCAACAGGTACTGAGCCTGGATCCATCTGACTACAGGGCCTGAGCCTTTTCCATTGTGCTGGATTACTGGAAAGGCCTCTCCTCTTAGTCTGTGATGTCCCCTGACACTGGCTGTGTCTTTTTTCTGTGAGGAGTTGTTCTGGGTACTGTGGTGAGAGTAAATGGGACCTGCTCTGAGGTCCCATTACAGGGACAGCAGGTGTACAGGTATTACAGCTAGGATCTAACAGAGTTTCCTTCCTCTACAGCTCGGCAAGTCCGTGGTAGCCAAGGTAAAAATCCCAGCAGGCACCATCCTAACCCTGGACATGCTCACTGTGAAGGTGGGAGAGCCCAAAGGCTATCCTCCTGAAGACATCTTTAATTTAGTGGGCAAAAAGGTGCTGGTCACTGTTGAAGAAGATGACACGGTGATGGAGGAATCTGTGGAAAGTCACAGCAAGAAAATCAAGGCTTAGAATAAAGTGCCACTTCGGCTTCTCAGCCATCCTGCTACTGCTGTCCAGTGTGTCGGGTGCAGAGGGGCAGGAGCGTCGGTCTCCAGGCCACCCTGTCAGAGTGGCCACCTGGGTCTAGCCCATTGGAAAGAAGGAGCCCCTTTCTATTCTGCTTCGAAGTGTCCAGCCAGAGAAGGCAGCCCAGAGCAAGTGCTGCTCCTTTAGGGTTTCTGTGTGGCTCTCTTGGCATCTTGAGCCTTCGTGTTCCCTCTCTCCAAAGCCACTCGTGGGACCTGAGCTCTCAGTTCCGCATAGAGCACTGAACGGTGGGCATTAACCTCTGCCTGAGGACCTGTGGGCAGAGACAAGCTCTCCTGTCTGAGCAAAGGCAGGGACAGGGCACTTGGTCCTCCCTTTAGCAAATTGTCACCACCAGAGGCCTAGGGACATGGTTCTTAGCCAGCCAGTCCCTTTCTCGAAGGCCTGTCCTCAGGCAGCAGATGCTCACTAACCCACGGTACATTTGGTCCCGCTGTTAGAGGGGGACGTGAAGGGGAGGAGTGGTCTGGAGGAGAGTGGCAGGGTGGAGCAGGGAGTGTGCACATCTTAACCCTGGAGGGAGGTACAGAAATCAACCCTGACGTAAACACCTGTGTCTTGTTACATACGACAGATTGCAAACCCAGACAAAGGTCCTATTGTTTGACTTCTTTAAGTGCATAAACTCTACAGAGGTTCACTGTCACATTTCACTTTGTTCTTTGGAATCAATCCTGAGATTAATCTTTTTTTTTTCTTTTTTCATTTTTCGAGACAGGGTTTCTCTGTGTAGCCCTGGCTGTCCTGGAACTCACTCTGTAGACCAGGCTGGCCTCGAACTCAGAAATCCGCCTGCCTCTGCCTCCCAAGTGCTGGGATTAAAGGCATGTGCCACCACTGCCTGGCTCATCTTGTTCTTTTTAAGTATCTCCTTGTCTTCATCTTATTTAAAAAACTTTTACCTTTTTTTTTTTTTTTAAAAAAAAAAAGATAAGATCTTACTCTATCCTGGCTGGCTTGGAACTCACCCCGTAGACCAGACTGGACTCAGACACTGAGATCTACTTGCCTGTGCCACCTGAGGGCTGAGATTAAAGCTGTGTGCTACCATGATTGGCCTATATTCACTTTTTATGTGTGTGTCTATGTGCACGAATTACAGAGGACAACTTTCGGGGGTCAGTTCTCTCCCTCCACCATGTTGGTTCCAAGGATCAAACTCAGGTCCTCAGGCTTGGTAGCAGTCTCCTTTACCAGCTGACTGTCTCAATGGTCCACTGATTCCTGCACCTCCCAGTTTTGTGTGTTTGTATGTGCAGAAGTCAGGTACCCTGTTTTATCTGAGACAGCATTAGATATGCTGGCATCTGGTGGGCTCCAGAAGGCCTGTTTGCCCACAGTGCACTGCCAAGCCTGGCTTTTTACTTGGGTGCTGTGATCCACCTTGAGCCCTCCCCTCTTTTCAAGCCTCCCTCCTCCTTTTAAAGAATTATGTGAGTCCACTGTCGCTGTCTTCAGACACACCAGAAGAGGACATCAGATTCCATCATAGATGGTTGTCAGCCACCATGTAGTTGCTGGGAATGGAACTCAGGACCTCTGGAAGAGCAGTCCATGCAAAACCCCTGAGCCATCTCAGCCCCTTTCCTCTTTTTTTAAAGATTTGTTTTTATTTTACATGTGTATGTATATATGCACAGTACCAATGGAGGTCAAAGGAGAGCCTCAGATCCCTACTAGAATTACAGTTATGAGCCCTTAGGAACCCAAGTTTTCTGTAAGCAGAAAATGCTCTTAACCACCGAGACATCTCTTCAGCCCTTCATTGCAGGGTTCTTTCTTTCTTTCTTTCTTTCTTTCTTTCTTTCTTTCTTTCTTTCTGAGACAGTTTTTCTGTGTAGCCCTGGCTGTCCTAGAACTCACTCTGTAGACCAGGCTGGTCTTGAATTCGGAGCTCTTCCTGCCTCTGCCTCTGCCTCCTGAATGCTAGGATTAAAGGCATATGCCACTTCTGCCCAGCACACACACACACATAAATTGTATGTGCATTGGTATTTTGTTTATATAGATGTCTCTGAGGGTCCTGGATCCCCTAGAACTGGAGTTAGAGTTGTGAGCTGCCATGGGTACGCACTGGGAATTGAACTCGGGTCCTCTCAAAGGGTAGCTTTTAATCTCTGAGCCATCTCTCTAGCCCCCATTTTCAAGTTCTTAATCTTTGTGTTCATATTAGGCCTTTATTATTTTTTTTTTTAAGATTTATTTATTTATTATTTATGAATACACTGTAGCTGTCTTCAGACACACCAGAAGAGGGCATCAGATCTCATTACAGATGGTTGTGAGCCACCATGTGGTTGCTGGGATTTGAACTCAGGACCTCTGGAAGTGCAGTCAGTGCTCTTAACCACTGAGCCATTTCTCCAGCCCAGCCTTTATTTTTTTTTAAGGTTTATGTGTGTGTCCACAGAGGGCACGGGTGTCAGATCCCCTGGAGCTGGAGTTATAAGCAGTTGTGAGATGCCTGATATGGGTGCTGGGTCCCAAACTTGGGTCCTCTGTAAGAGCAATTTGAACCCTTAACCACACTGAAGTGTCACTTCTCCAGGCCAGTCTAACTGTATTTGCTGTATCACTCCTATTTGAAGCATACATTCAGGTCTCTCTTCAGTGTATAGTTTGCTCTAGCGGTTCATTTGTGAATTAGGACTTCCCACTTTTGGAACCTAGAATAACTTCTGGGGAAGTGTGAGTGATGGGTGTTCTTGTCTGTAGCTGGACTGGTATCCAGGCACATTCCCAGCTCACTCACAGTAGGAAAACTCAGGTTTGGAAGACATGCCTAAGCACTTGTAGATGGGCTATGCCGTGGCATGTGACATCTCTACAGACAGGACTCACGGAGCTGACCTTTACTGCTAACAGGGTGGGAGGCACTGATCTGGAAAAGACTCCTGCAAGTTTCAGCTAGTTTAGCCTTGTAGATTGGGCAATAGCTGAGGGATGGACTGTGTGCAGGCTTGGGAAATGTTCCGAAGCTGAGAAGTGATGGTTTGGTAGGAGTAGCACGTGGGCAGGGCTCAGAGCCTTCCAAGTTCCTTAGGGAGTGAACCAAGGATTCCGTTTTTTCTTTTTTTTTCGAGACAGGGTTTCTCTGTGTTGCCCTGGCTGTCCTCACTCTGTAGTTCAGGCTGGCCTCGAATGTCAGAAATCTGCCTGCCTCTGCCTGCCAAGTGCTGGGATTAAAGGCGTACACCACCACTGCCTGGACAGTTTTTTCTTCACATTTTTGTGTATGGTTATCTTGCCTACATGTCTGCACCACATATATTTCTGGTTCCTACAGAAGCCAGACAATAAAGTGTTCAATCTCGTGGAACTGGAGTGAACAGTTGTGAGCCACCATGTGGTTGCTGGAAACTGAACTTGCCAATACCATGGAGACATCTTTCCAGGCTCTCCCTTTTTTGTGTATGTACGGGTGAGTGTGCACTCTTTTGAGAGGTATTTAGGAGTTGGTTCTAGCCTTCCACTACATGGGCCCTGGGGATTGATCTCAGGCATGGTGGCAAGCATCTTGACCTGCTAAGCCATCTCCAGCCTCCCCACTCTGCTTCCCCCAGAAGATTTTTTATCAGAACATACAGAATCTGTCCTGGGCCCTGCCCAGGAAGTCACTTCCTATCATAAACTGTGCTTTCTGGAACAAGCTGTCCCTCAGAACACTGAATGCTTCTATTACTAGCATCACCTATATGGGGTTACCACTGGCTAGTGTCTCTGACAAAGTGGTATTATGGGCAGAAGAGATGCCACTGTAGGTAAAAGGGTGCCCCTGAATTCTCTAGAAGCTAGAGACTATAGGAGGCTTCCATGGTGCTGAAGGGTGAATACAGACATGCTTCACTTTGTGTGTGTATGTGTGTGTCTGGAAACAACTGGGAGTTGGGTTTGCTTCCACAGAAGAATTTAGAGGCCACTGAGATGGCTCTGTAGGTAGATGGTTGTCACCATCCTGACAACCCAAGTTCAGTCCTCAGATCTCATATGGTAGAAGGACAAAACTGACTTCCACCAGTTATCCTCTAATGTCCTCATGTGTATACCATGATATTCATGGTCCCCCTGCCCCGCAAAATCAATGTTCAGAAGACCGTGGTTCTCTTCATGAGTGGTGAGCTCCCCATCCCCCAAAGCTGGAGGTGTTCACTTTAGAACCAGCTGACTGTTTCAAAAAAGTTATGAAGGGGATGGCAGGTGAGCAAGATTTTATCCAACCCCAAATGCTATCCACTTGATTTTCAATGAAGAACACAGTTACAAGGGACAGTATTCCTATTTTATTAGACAAAGCATGTATTAGAAAACTGTTGTCACGAGGTAGGTGTTTGTCCTCCACTTCCTTGGCCTTGACTAAGCCTTTTTCTTAAAAACGCCTGCTGAGGCTGGAGTATAGCTCAATGGAGCCCTTACTCAGCATGTGTGAGGCCACTGGTTCTAGACTAAGCACCACAGGGGAAAATAATTTGTGTACCTTTGAGGCAAGTTCTACAAAACCAAGAGCATTAATACACATGGTTTGTACCTTGAAAACATGGATGCCAAGGAGACTGCCCGGAGAATATCAAGGCAGCTAGCTCCCTTAGCTGCCACCTAGCTGCTGGGTATCTGTGGTCCAGCAGTGTGACAAGGTAGGGAAAATCTATTGTAGGTGCTAACAAACCTTGGCCTTGATACATTATAATTTTTAAGGAATTTGGCTTGTTTGAACCTCTAGGCACCGACCCACATTTTACAGATGAGGACCTCAAGTAGAAAGAATCTTGCCTGAGGCCACACAGGTGACAGGAAGCCAAGCCTTCCAGCCAGCACAAACCCTGATTCAGAACCAGTCTTTCTGTTTTATACCCAAATCAGATCCTCTCAAACAATTTCATCCCCCATCCTAAAGGGTATGAAACCTCTATTTCAGGGACCAATGAAGGTAATCTAGAAGCAGGCTCGACCCAGGGGGAAACTGAGGCCCATAATACTGAGAGGGAGAAGAGCTGCCACATCCACAACACAGCCTGGTGGGCACCATAGATCCTGACCACAACACTGATTCTATTCTGGACAGTCATCTGACTCACGTGTACCAATTCTACCTTGTGTACAAGAGGATCGCTTCCCACCTTTGAGGGATGTAAGGATCAAGTGTACTGTATGACATGTAACAACGCCTGCTAAGAGATGCCTGGCCTGGCCCCCCCTGCAGTGGTGCGTGTGGGAAAAGCTCTGGTCTTGTGAATGAAGGAGATGTAGCATCTGTAGCATCTCCCGTTAGGTAGGTATGTCGTGTCAGATCACTCTTTGAACATTCTCAGTAGTTTTCTCTCCTGTGAGTAGCAGTCTACTGATCATCCAATCAGTGCTGGGAGGGCAGGACACAGATGTCCTCAGAAAGCAACTGGAATGATGAGTCCTAGATTTACAGGCCTAATTGTCTTTTTGAGGGGATGGGGTAGAGGATTTGCAGGTCTGATCAGTTGGTTTTTTGGGGGATAGGAGGGAAGTTCTTGGGGCAGATAAGCCTGAGAAGAGAGATAGGCAGAGAGCCGGTTTTCCTATTTATGGTAGGAAGCACAATGGTTCAAAGGTGCAACTGTGAACTAGCTTCTGACCGGAGCATGTCTGAAAAGACTGACATGGGAAAAGTGCTGAAAAAAGACAAGGAGAAGGGCTTTCTGTGTTGTTTTTTTTGTAGCTGAGAGTCCCCCTCTAATCACAAGAGGCCAAGCTAAGTTTCAGGATGCTCACATTGGTTTTAGTGTACCAGATTTAGAAGGGAGAGGATGCAGACCCAGAAAAGAACCCTCTCAGGTGCTCTGGATCGAGGTGACCCGGACAAGCTGAAGTGGCTGGAGAGCAGATGGCTCAAATGGGAACTGTTGAGGAACTGCTTGCTCCTGCAGGGAGACATTCACTGATACTTACTGTGTGCCTACTGTGTGTCAGGTTCTAGGCGCTGCACGACGCTCTCCCAGACACATGCAGCGGGGTGTCCCTTTCAGGAACATGCACTATAAAGGCATCGTTGTGGGGCAGGGGGGCACAGGGGACAGCTGGAGACTAGCCTAGGAAAGGAAGCACGCTCTCGCCTAGGGCAACCGGGGGATGCTGATGGCCCCCTCCCAGAGGCGCAGGGCCGGGTAGAGCGGCTCCTGGAAGGCGGCGTGGAAGGTATGCAAGTGGCTCATGCCACCCGACACGTCGTAGAAGGCCAGAACGCCGGCCTCGTAGTCCAGGAAGACGCCGAGCCGGTGGGGGTCGCGGTGGAGCCGCAGGCGGCTTCGCTGGCAGTCATGGAAGGCCCAGTACTCCAGGTCGTAACGCTTCACGCACCACGACTCGCGGTTGCAGCCCAGCCGGGCGGCGGCGGAGGCTCCGCGGCGCCGCAGCGACGGGTAGGCCGCGCCCACCCACCAGCCCACGCCTGCCTCCTGCACGTCCACCTCCCAGTAGTGGCGTCCGGCTGCGAAGCCGTCACGGCCCAGCACCTGACGCAGCGCGTCGAACCGCGGCGCAGGACGCGGCCCCAGGCGGCCCAGCAGCGAGCAGCGGACGGTCAGCCCGTCCGTCGACAGGCGCAGGCGCGCGTGCATCGTGTCGGGGTCCAGCGTAGGCGTGCGCGCGTCTGCAAGAGGGGGCGGGGAGGACAGCGGTCAGAAAACCTGGGCGGAGCCACATGGGGCCTCGGACTGAGCGTGCGTCTGGGCAGAGGGGCGGGGAAAGACAGTCTTATGGGCGGGGCTGAAGCGGAACCTGCTCACTTTCCATGCGCCGGTACCCGCCCGAGCCAAAAAGCTGGGTAGGAATCAAAAAGCTGCTGGGTAGGGTGAGACCCGGGAAACTGACGTTTATTACACGCTCTAGGCGGCTTGAGTTTGGATCGTGGAAGTTAATTAAAAATTAATTTATTAAAAAAAGAAAGAAAAGCAATGTTATTGCCGAGGAAGGTAGAGCACACCTTTAATCCCACCAGTAAGGAGGCAAGAGGCAGAGGTTCTGTGAGTTGGAGGCCAACATAGTGAGGTCTACATAGTAGCATGCTGCAGGGCAGGCAGGGGTATATTAAGAGACCCAGTCTCAAAAACAGAAAGATAGAAAATCTTAAACTGTTAGGACTCGGTTGCATGTCCTCTGACGTTTTTATCCCTTAATTTTGGGGCTTATACTTGATCCTAATATTGGTACCAAGCCATGCATGCTCTTAGGCAACCTACTTTTTAAAAGTTAATGGCATACTCATGAAACACGCTCGTATCATATCAAACATACTTCAGTGGTGATACGAGTTTGTGTGTGTGTTTATTTTATGGGCGTGAGTAGTTCTTTATCTGCGTCCCAGTGTAATGTGCAGTGTCAGCATTGGCCAGAAGAGGGCGCCAGGTTCCCTGCAACTGGAGTTACAGCGGGTTGTGAGTCTCCGCGTGGGCGTTGTGTACCAGAGCAACAAATGCTCTTAAACCACCGTCTCCAATCTCTGAGGCTAGAGGGTTTTGTAAGCTAAAGAGTTAGAAATGAAAACAGTTGCCATCCTTTTCGGCTAAGTAAGTGTGGGAACACGAAGAAGGCTTCTAGAACTTTCAGTTTCTTGGTCTGAAGGAGGTGAAGGAACGTTTACTTCCCCTTTGTTCGGTGTGCTTCTCTTCAAATGCATTTTATTTTTCAAACGTTTCTTTTAAAAATGTGTGATTAATGATACCGTTTTTGAGAAATTACTCCTGAGGATATGCAGCAAATAAGGCATATTTATCCACTCAGTCACTAATTTAACAAATGGGACAGTATTGGTGATTTAGAGCTGGGCCCCGCTGATATAAGTTTGAAACTCATTTGGGCTACAGAGGAAATCCCTGACTTAAAACAACAAGAAGAGTACAAAAAAACCAAAAATCCAGCAACTTTTAATAGGTTGTTGTGAGCATTGGAGGTAACTTGTAAAAGCTGTGTGTCTTGAGAATAAATGTTTCCGTGATAAACTACCCGGTGGCCTTTAAAATAGCATTATTGAAATGGAGCATTGTCATTATACTATTACATAAAGTTACAAAAGATTAGAACTTGGTGCTACTTTAAGATACCATGATAGTTTTTTTTTTTTTAAGTTTAATTTGGTTTTCATTTTTGTTTTTAGAGATGGAGTTCTTCTGTGTAGCCCTGCCTGTCCAAAATCCCATTGTGTAGATGAAGCTGGCCTTGTATTTAGAGATCAGCCTCCTGAGAACTGGAAAGGTGTGTGCCATCACCAACCACTAAAAATTTTTTTGGTTTTTTTTTTGTTTGTTTTTTTGTTTTTTTGAGACAGAGTTTCTCCATGTGACAGAGCCCTGTCACCTGGAACTTGCTTTGTAGACCAATCTGGTTTAGAACTCTAAGAGCCTGCCTCTCTGCCTCCTGAATGCTGGGATTAAAGGTGTATGCCACCACTGTCTGGTGACACCTATTTTTAAATGTCTGAAAGAGCAATCTGTGGAAACACTGGCTGCAGTTAACTTTGGTTAAATAGCTGTTTTCTTTTGGTTTTTAATTTCTGATCGTCACAATGCATGCACTAAATATGTAATTTTCCTTGTCTTCCTCTCTTTATCTCTCCTTTCCTTTCCCTTTCTCCTTCTCTCCCCCTCGCTCTCCCTCTCTTGCTTGTGACACTAGGAGTCAAACCCAGACATGCCTCACACACACCAGGCAAGCATTCTATCACTGAGATGCCCCAACCCTCTCCATCTGTAAATTTTTAGGGAAACAAATAGAGATGGTTCAAGATTTCCTAGGAAATGAAAACAGAAATATAAAACAGTGTGTATAGAATGATACCATGTTGTATGTAAAGATAAGCTGGGCATGGTAGAACTCCCTGCACCAGGGAGAGAGAGAGAGGCAGGAGGATCAGGAGTTCAAATCTAGCCTTGGCTATATAATAAATCTGAGACTAGCCTGGGCTATCGGAGGCTCTGTCTCAAAAACAAAACAAAGGCAAATAATAGTAGCTTTCTATGGGAGAACAATTATGAATTTTTTTTTGTGTGAATGTGTATGTTTTTAAAAGCCTAATAGAAGGTTTTTTAAAAAAATTATTATTATGTTGTTTTGGTTTGGTTTTGAGACAAGGTCCTACCATATAGCCAAAGGTAGACTAGAACTTGAGATCTCCCTGCCTGAGCCTCTAAGCACTAGGGCTAAAAGCTCTGTGGAACTACATACCCAGCAAAAATGTTTAAACCTTATTTGGAAACAATCTCTTAACAGGAAGTTGGGGGGCTCATTTCCTGCCCTTCATCCACCTTTGCTCCCACCCAACCTCCCTCTCCCACTCCCCAGTCTCACATTTCAAGAAGAGAGCTCTCTCTGGCGAGGGGCTGGTTTTCAACAAGGTGCCTGGCTTGGTGCAGGAGGAGCTTGAGAGCTGGCAGTTTATGTCTGTAAGGAATTGGGATTTCAAGGTGTGAGGGTCTGGAGCCCATGTGGACAGCACAGACAGACACCAAAGACAAACAACACTGGAGCCTTGCACATAGCTCCCAAGAGTCACATGCAAATTTAGAAAATACAAATTCTGGGGTATGGGGCCCGAGGGGGCGTGCAGTAGGGGGGGCATACAGCCACTCACTGATGGCAGCCGAGTGAGCCTCAGCTCAGCACTGGAGGATAGGAGGCAGTCTTCCCTGAAAGTAGGGCTGAGCCTGGAGGAAGGTACACAGCAGGAAGCCGTGTGTGTGTGTGTGTGTGTGTGTGTGTGTGTGTGTGTAGAGATGTCTGTTAAAAGTGTTTCTTGTTCTTGCAGAGGATCTGAGCTCAGTTCCCAGCACCCATATCAGGTGGTTCAAAACCACCTCTAACTCCAGCTCCAGAAAAGCACACAGCCCGTTTCCCTCCTCAGACTCGTGTGCACACAGACACACAGATACATGCATGATTTTTTCCCCCTTCCCTTCTCCCTCTTGCTCTGCCCCTGCTTGCTCCCAGCCCTGCTCAGGCCCAAAGTACACTGTAGCTGTCTTCAGACACTCATACGAGGGCATCAGATCTCATTATGCATGGTTGTGAGCCACCATGTGGTTACTGGGATTTGAACCCATGACCTCCTGAAGAGCAGTCGGTGCTCTTAACTGAGGAGCCATCTCACCAGCCCTACATGCATGGTTTTTAAAAAGAATGCAAGCAACCCTAGCTGGAGCTCTCAGCAGCACCGTGACCACTTTCGAAGGGGGCTTTGTAAGCCCCTTCCTCCCAGGCATGGTTGTTGGGGACAGTGAGATGGTTTCATCAGTGGCACAGCCAATGGCAAATGCCTATAGTCCTCTAAATAACTTCTACCCATGCTCCTGTAAGGAGCTCTAACTAACTCCTCACACTCACACACATACTCACACATTCACACACACACACTCATACACACACTCACACACTCACTACACATTCATACACACATGCACACAGACTGACACATATATACATACTCACATGTTCACATACATTCATACACACATGCATATGCTCACAGACTGACACACATACACATTCACACACACACCACACATACACTCAGATACACACTGACACACATACATACACATTTACACACACACTCATATACACATTCATACACACAGACTGACACACACTGGTACATACACATTCACACACACACACACACACACACACACTGACATACACGCTGACAAACTTACACATTCACACACACATTCACACACTCACACACACTCATACACATACTCACACATTTACACACACACACTCACAGATATGAAAGCAGCAGGGAGAACTAGTTAGGCAGAGGAAGAGAATCACTGGGAATGGGAGGGGGATAAGATAGAGTAATGGGCGACTGCAGAGATGGCTCATCCTTTAACAGTACTGGGGACCCGGGTTCGATTCCCAGCACCCATAAGTTGGCTCACAATGGTCTGTTTCAGAAGGTCTCAGGCCCTCTTTTGACCTTCACAGGTACTGCACATGTGATGCACAGTCATGCATTCAGGCAAAGCATCATATTACATAAAAAAATAAATCTTAAAAGGTAAGAGAGGGTAATGCAGGAGAATATGCCCAAAATACGTTATGTGAATGTGTAAAAATGTCACAATGAGACACATTTTTATGTATAAGTAATAAATGCTAATAAAGTATTCAAAATAGTAAAACCTATCACACAAAGCCCAGCTAAGCCTGCAGAGAGGTTCAGGCCTGGGAAAGAGCAAAGGGAGGAGGTTGTTCCAGCCAGAGGACACCTTAGGAAACACCTCCTCGGGGACCTCCATCTGCTCTGAATCCTGCCCGTAAGGCCTCCCTCAGCACCTGTGGGTGACGATGGCGCAGACCTTGGCAAAGGCCTCACCCCTTCCCAGCATGCTGCAGACATTCACACTGTTACCAGGGGAGATCTGCCTCGGTGAGCTCAAGCTTCTCACAGGGCCCTTCCCCCACTCCACAAGACTGCCTTCCACTTGCTCATTCCCAAAGCCCTGACCTGCCTTAGCCTGGTTAGTTTCCTGTCAGGCCCGCACAAGATATTCGAGTTATTTGGAAAGAATAGCCTCATCTGAGAGAAGCTCACCCTCGCTTACCATCAGAGTGGCCTGTACACAAGTCTGTGGGACATTTTCGTTGTTTGGTTGGTTTGTTTTTTTTGTTTGTTTGTCTTTTTTGTTTCCTTTTTCTCCCTTCCTTCCTTCCTTCCTTCCTTCCTTCCTTCCT